TTAATTAAATAAAATAAAAAATAAATATAAATAGATAAATGAAAAGGGCTGGCGATGTAGTTCAGTGTGAAGGCTCTGGTTCAATATCCAGTGCCGATGGGGGACAGTAATACTGTATTTGTAGATCCCCAATGCAGTTCACTTAAAACTACTATTCCCAGCATGCCCTCTTCTCTAGCAGGTGAGTTCCGTGTTGGGGGGGCGGAAATGTACCAGACTACATTTCCCGAAATGCAAGGCTTTCTTTCCGGGCCGTCAATCACGTCGGGAATTGTAGCGGTTCGGAGTAAGCTTCGTCCACAACTCCCATCATGCACTTAGAACCTGGCTCCTTTGGTAAGAAAAGGACTGTCGTGCAGCATGCTAAGAGATGCGACTGACCCTTTCCCTCGCTTTCCGTTCGTCGGAGAAACCCCTTTGTGAAACTACAACTCCCAGAGGGTCGTGCGCGAGGGAGGCGGGCCTTTCTTCCGGAAGTCTTTCCAGCCCTGGGCACCCGAACTGCAGCCACAACCGGAGCCACCCAGTTGCCGAGGGACCTGGGCTGCTGGGGTCCGGACAGGGGTCGTCATGGTAACGGGGGCGTCACGCCCGGAACTGGCAGAGGGAGGGTCCCCGCGCAAACAGCCGAAGCTTGGTTTGGCACTGACGAGTCCCCCCCACCCCCCTGCGGCGGATGGTCTGGGCCAGGCGCGGGCTCTCGGGATTGGGGCCATCAGGGGCAGGGATGCGGGTTCAGGGCTTTGATTCTGCCCAGCGGGTGCGCTGGGTTCTCCAGGCTTGGGGACACAGGGCAAGGGGGGCGAGGAGAAGGCTGTGCGGGTGGGGGATACTGGAGGTTGTTGGGGGCCTGACAGAGAGAGGCAACTTGCGGGGCACGGGGTAGGGAGAAGGCCCTGGAGGTGGGAAGGAGGCATTGGACGGGAACGGGGACGCTGGAACAGGGAGCGAGTCTCCCTATAGGAGGGGTCTCCAGAGGTGGAGAGCTGGCATTGCAGGTGGAGAGGGGGTGTTGGCGCAGGAGCAGGAGACAGCTGAGGAGGGAGAATGTCAAGGGACTGGGCACTGGAGACCGGAAGTAGGCAACTGCGGGGAACCAGGGTCTAGGGGCAGGGAAAGCGTGGCGCCAAAGGAGAGAGGCTCGGAGGCCGTGGGCGCTAGAAATGAATGGGGAGCAGCTGAACTGATCTTTCCCAGAAGAGAGATCTAGGGGGCAGGGAGCAGGCTTGGAGGTGTGACACGGGGAGGAGGCTCTTGGAGCAGTGACTGAGGCCTGGACTTAGGGGGTACCCCTGAGCCCAGGTCGGGCTTTGGAATTGGGCAAGGGTTCTTTGGTCGGGGTTCCGGACAGGAGGTGACTGGGGGAGTGTCAGACTCGGGGTGAGTCTCCTCAAGGAACGGGATCCTTGGAGGCAGGATGCGATCTTTGTTTTTTTTCTGGTGGTGGTAGGTTTCTTTTCCTTTTTATACAGGGTCTTACTATTTAGTTCAGGCTGGCCTCAGACTCACACGAGTCCTCCTCCCTCAGTCTCCCAAGCGCTGGGATGCCAGGCGTGGGCTATCACGCCTGGCAAGATGCGATCTTTGGAAGAAGGAAGGCAGCCTTGGAGTCGGAGGGGCGATGTCTCCAGTGAAAGGCTCCTGAGGCTTGAGCGGGGACTGAAATTGAGAAGTGGAGGTCAAAAGGGACCAACTCCAAGGGAGAAGGCTTGGAGGCGAGGAAAGTTGGGGGCTTCCGGAGGGGCCAGCAGAGGGGTGAGGGTGCAGGAGGGAAGGAGACCTGGAGAGATAAAGACAAAGATAAAGATAAAGACAGAGATAAAGGTGGGAGTCTCCAGGGGGGTTGGGTATAAGAAGCAGCGATGTCAAGTCCCCACAGGGGCCCTGGGTCCCTGCTTGGCCCCAGGTGCGGCTACCTGGTGCCCTGCCGGCCTCCTCTCCCTTCCCCCTCACCCCTGCTGAGATAGGAAGTGGCTTTCCCTGGCTCAGCAGAAGGCATTCTTGGAATGAGCTTGTAAGATCCTGTTTCTGCCTACTTGCTGGGTAAGGACCTAGTGGAGTGTGTGAAGAATGAGGCTTAGGAAAGGAAGTGGGGTGCTATTAAAGGACGGGGCTCCCACAAGTTAGGGTAAGGGGGTTCGAGCAGAGCCTTTTAACTCTCAGGTCTTCCTTTCCCTGAGCCTTGGTTTTCCTTTCTTTTTTTTCTTTTTTTTTTTTTTGCGGTACCAGGAATCGAACTCACGACCTCACGCTTGCCAGGCAGGCCTTTACACCACTGAGCTATATCCCCAGCCCCGAGCCTTGGTTTTCTTATCTGTAAAATGGGCATCAGCATGCTAGGCCTCCTAGCTGGGTCCTATGTAACAAATTATAGTTGCTGCTAGGAGCTAGTGTTATATGACACTTAGAATACACCAGTCCCTGCACTACACCCTTGTCTTCATTGCCCTGTGCCTTAGTCTTATAAAGGAGGTGCTTAGTATGTCCATTGTATGGAAAGGGAAGCTGAGGCCCAGAGAGGTTAAAACATCAGCTCCGAACACACAGCAATAGTGGCCAGGATTCACTCTGGCTCTAGAGTCTGTGCTTTTAGCCACTCAAATGCCTCTCAGACATAATGATGGCTAATTTTATCAAGGGCCCCTGTGTAACAGGTACTGTGCTAAGCACTTGTGTCTTACTTTGTTTTGTGGTACTCATGGTGGAACCCAGGGCCTTGTCCTCGTGTATAGCAGGTGAGCGCTCTGCCACTGAGCTACATCCCCAACCCTTTTTAAAGTTTTATTTTGAGGCAGTGTCTCTGTGCTGGCTAATTTAGCCTTGTGCCTGTGCCCCTCCTGCCTCAGCCTCCTGAGTAGCTGAGATTACAGGGCTGCACCACCACGCCTGGCTTCTAAGTGTTTCTGACTGACTCTCAGTTTGCACAGTGGCTGTGATGACTTTTCAGAATTGTGACAACAAACTCTGCAGCCAGAACTGGTGAGAATCATAGCTAACACAGAGCGAGAGTTCTGAGGCAGGCCCCGCTCTGGGGCTTCTGCTTTGTCTCTGCTCACAGCAGCCTGAGGCACTGAGGTCACGGAGTGATAAAGAAGGACAGGTCGGGGTGTAGCTCAGTGGCAGAGCACTGGCCTGGCCTTGGGAAGCCTTGGGTTCTTTCCCCAGCACTGCAAAACAAAACAACAAAGGCAGGTGTTTGGAAAACAATTCCTGAAATAGTTCAACATAGAGCTTCTAAGGGGGCTGGGGATATAGCTCAGTGGCATAAGCGCCTGCCTGGCAAGCGCAAGGTTGTGAATTCGGTCCCTGGTACCGGAGGGAGAAAAAAAAAAAAAAAGTATAAAAAACAGAGCTTCTATGTGACCCAGCACTTCCTACTCCCAAGATTTTATGCAAAAACTGGGACTTAACTGCTCGTAGCAGCTTCTATCGTGATGGCCAGGAAGTAGAAGTGACCCAAATGCCCAGCCAGTGAGTGGATAAGCAGAGTCAGAGGCCATCATGTGGACGTTGTTCACCATAGAAAGGAACGAGGCTCTCCAGTGTGCTGCCCATGGCTGAGCCGGGTCCCCAGAGCCGAGTCCCCAGAGCCGCATCCGTGCAATCCCATTTGCGCGAAATGTCCAGAAAGGGCAAGTCCACAGGGGCAGGGGTGGGGTGGAGGGATAGGAGGTTTCTTTTGGGGTTAATAAGAATGTTCTGGCCAGGTATTGTGGTGCACACCTGCAATCCCAGCATTCAGGAGGCTGAGGCAGGAGGGTGACCAAGAGTTGGAGGCCAGCCTGGGTTACATAGTGAGACCCTGTCCCAGAAAACAAAAACAACAGCAAAATGTTTTGGAATTAGTGATGGTATTTGTACAACTACGAACATACTAAGGGGATATCCTGAAAATCATCAAACATTCTGCATTTTTACTGTGAGGATTTTGTGGTATTTCAGTTTCTTAAACAATGAGTAAGCCAAAAAAAAAAAAAAAATTAGTAAGCCAAAAAAGAAGAAGAAAAAGGGGAAGGAGAAGGAGAAAAATGGCAGAGCCAGGACTCAGACTGACAAAGTCTGAGTTACAAACATTTATTTAATTTATTTTGGTTATCTGAGTCAGGGTCTCGCTATATAGTTTATTTTTTTTTCCCACTGTGTAGTTTAGGTTGACGTTGAACTCACTATGTAGCCGGAGCTGACCTCACATTTGCAGCGATCCTCCTGCCTCTGCTTCCCAAATGCTGGGATCACAGGCGCACCATACCGGGCTGAGATAAATATACTGAGTGTCTTTGTTGTTGTTTTTGTTTTGTTTTGTTTTGATACGGAGTGTCTACCATGCACTGGCTACTGAGCCAAATTGATAAGTGTAGTTAACCTTCAAAACACTTTGGCAAAGGGCTGGGGATTTAGCTCAGCGGCACAGCTGAGCTGCCCGGCAAGCGCAAGGTCATGAGTTCGATTCCCGGTACTGGGAAAAAAAAAAACCACTTTGGCAAGATAGGTGTCCTCGGGGAACGTGTGTCGCCCATGCAGGAGGGAACAGGCTTGGTGGAGCCCAGGAGTCACCCACTAGGAGAAGGGATGTCGCTCCCCAGGCGTTGGAGGGACAAGGGCCTCTGCAGGGATGGGCGGGGCTCCCAGACCTCCGCCCTCACTTGCTCCTCCTCCTGCTCCCTCAGATCCGCTTCATTCTCATCCAGAACCGCGCGGGCAAGACACGCCTGGCCAAGTGGTACATGCAGTTCGATGACGACGAGAAACAGAAGCTGATCGAGGAGGTGCACGCCGTGGTCACCGTCCGAGACGCCAAGCACACCAACTTTGTGGAGGTGACCGGTCCCCGACCCTCCCACTCCCGTGTACCCCTACCCTCTTGGTCACCTCTTCCTCTCTTCTCTCCCTCAGCTGCTTATAGCCTTTTCCCTTCCCCTTCCTTTTTGGGTCCTGTTTGTTTTTATTTTTTTAAGACAGGGTCTTGCTCTGTAGTCCAGGTTGGTCTTCAGCTCACTATGTAGCCCAGGCTGGCCTGGAACTCAAGGCGATCCTCCTGCCTCAGCTTCCTGAATGCTGAGGTATGCACCACCATACTTGGCGTTTTTGGGTACTTTTCATTGTGAAAAGTTACAAATGTAGGGGCTGGGGATTTAGCTCAGTGGTGCAATGCCTATGTGGCCTCAAGTGCCTGAGGTCTTGAGTTCGATTCCCAGTACCCTCAAAAAAAGTTGCACACGTATAAACTAGCACAGAGAGGAAGGAGAGGACACTGAAGATCTATCCACCTCTAACTTAGCCTGTACTGGTATTACTATTTCACCTTCCTGCTGTACCCTGTTTATGTTTTTATCAAAGAGTTGTGTGATTGGTATTGTTGCTGTTGTCTTGCAATGCTGAGGATGAACCCAGGGCCTCACACAAGCTAGGCAAAGCGCTCTGCCAGTGAGCTACAGCCCCAGTCCTTTTCATTTTATTTATTTATTTACATTTTGTTTTTGTCTTTTTGAGACAGGGTCTCCCTATGCAGTTCAGGCTGGCCTTGAGCTCACTTTGTAGCCCAGGCTGGTCTCGAACTCACAGTGATCCTCCTGCCTCATCCTCCCGAGTGCTGGGATTACAAGCAAGTGCTGGGATTATAGTTTATTTTTTATTTTGAGACAAAGTTATGTTAGAATGGCCAGGCTGGGTTTGAACTTACTGTCCTCCTACCTCAGCCTCCGAAGTAGCTGGGATTACAGGTGTGCGCCACCACACCAAGGCTCCTATGACTCAGTTTTAATCTCTCCACCTTTTTTTTTTTCTCTCCACCTTTTATCCTGATGACATTTACCTGTTCAAGAGACCAGGCGGGGGCTGGGGGTGCAGCTCAAGGGTTCCGCCCCAGCACCACACACACACAAAAGAGACCGAATTCCTGTAGAGTTCAACAAATATTAAAATATTTTGGAGGGGTCTTTTGGTTTTGTTCTTTGAGACAAGGTCTTGCTGTGTAGCCCAGAAACTTGAGGTGACCCTCCTGCCTCATCCTCCCGAGTGCTGGGATTACAAGGGTGCCCCACCGTGCCCAGCAAAGCACTCAACAAAAATTAACCACAGGTTTCCTGCGTGTGACGCTGTTCTTGGCGCTGGGGAATCACAGTGAATGTATCACACATCTCTGCCCTCGCAGAGCTGACTTTCTGGCTGATAGGAGATGGACAGTAAAAGATATAGTATCTGGCGGCATTAAACAGCCACAAGAAAACTAAGCAGCTAAAGCGGGGGAAGGGTGCTGGGTGTGCAGGTTCACCTGGTTCCTTCAGGAAAGCATCCCTGCAAAGCGACTTCAGCCAAGGCCTGAAGGGGTTGCAGGGTGTGGCGCTGCCCTCTCCCAAGATTTCACGGGTTGGGGTGACTGCAGGGGGGCGGTGGAGAAGGATAGCAGGGCTGACGGGAGGGGCGGCATCTGGGGACGAGGAGGCCCGGGCAGTGCGGACGCGGGAGTTGCTGTACCCCAGTGGTGGCCGAGCTGAGGGGCGCTGGTGGCGGTGCGGTGGCAGAGGTGAGGCGGGGGAGGGTCTGTGCAGAGGCAGGGGTTGGAGGGGAGCAGGACCCTGAGGTGTGGGCATCTGGCAGCCAGGGGACGTGGGGCGCCGGGGCTGCTGCAGCGCTCCCTCATGGGTGGCCTTGGCCGAGAGGACCCGGGTGTCGGGATTCAGGCTCTTGCATTCATCTCTGATATTTCCCAGGTGTCTCCGGGGCCTGCCCCGCCAAGCCTGCTGCTGGGTTCTCCGCGGTGACTGCACGGCCTTGTGCTGCTTGCGGGCATCTCACATCCAGGGACAGACACAAGCCTGAGCCTGGCAGGGTGGCACACATCTGTAATCCCTGTGCTCTGGGAGGCTGAGGCAGGAGGATTGTGAGTTTGAGCCTAGCCTGGACAGTTTAACTCCTTAGCGAGACCCTGTCCCAAAAGAAAATAAAATTTAAAAAGGGCTGGAGATGTCGCTCAGTGCAGAGGCCCTGGGTTCCATCTCCAGTACAAAAAGAAAACACCCAAAAAGCAGAAGTAAGCCTGTCCCCAGATAGTAACCACCAGGATGCACAGGGCTAGAGGAAGGAAGGAGGCCGAGAGGCCTGGGAGTGTGGAGGGCGTCCTGGAGGAAGTATCAAGTGGAAATGAAACTAAGTTTTTCGTTTCATTTTTGAGGCAGGGTCTCACGGAAATAGTCCAGGCTGGCCTTGAACTCACTGTGTAGCCCAGGTTGGCCTTAGACTTGAAGGATCATCCTGCCTCAGCCTCCTCAGTGCTAGGATTACAGGCATGCACAGCCGCACTCGTTTCCCAGGGAATTTAGGACAAAGAAAGAGGAGGTGCCAGTCATTGTCAGGTCACTTGCCCATGGGTTGTGGGAGGCATTACTGTAATATTAAAAAACAGAATCAGCGTGTAGAAATTAACAAAAGGAGGGGCTGGGGATATAGTTCAGTGGTATAAGCGCCTGCCTGGCAAGCGGAAAGTCACGAGTTCGATCCCCGGTACCGCAAAAAAAAAAAAAAAAAAAATAACAAAAGCGCCGAGTAGACGCTCTACGACTAATGTTGTCACCCACAGTCACCACTAGGTGGTGCCATACACACATCGCAGGCCTAGGTTTTGGCCAGTGTGTGTACTTTTACCCTAGTATGCGAGTCAGTAGCTGTATCTATCTTTCTCTTTTCTTTTTTCTTTTGGTGCTGGGCATGGAACCCAGGGCTTGCACATGCTGGGCCAGGCTCCACCACTGAGCTCCACCCCAACCCCTGTCAACCTCTTTACCTCCGCAGACTCAAAATCAATACATGTTCTGGCTCCGTGGGCTTGATATGTGTGTGTGTTATTATTCTAATATTTATAGATACCAGTTGGATGTCCCTTATCTGAAAATCTGAAATCCAAAATCCAAAAGTTTCTGTTGGAGATAGTTTCCCTAGGGAGCTCAGGCTGATATTGGATGCCTTGGCTCAGGTGATCCTCCTGCCTCAGCTTCCTGAATAGCTGAGAATTCAGTGTGTGCCATTGCACCCAGCTCAAAATCTGAAGCTTTTTTTTCCCCCAGCATAATAGCACACACCTGTAATCCCAGTACTCTGGGAGACTGAGGCAGGAGGATTGCAAATTTTAACCCAGCCTGGGGTATTTAGTGAGACTTTGTCTCAAATTAAAAACCAAAAAGGGGGGCTGAGGATTTAGCTCAGTGGCACAGCGCCTGCCTGGCAAGCACAAGGTCATGAGTTCGATTCCCAGTACCGGAAAAAAAAAACCAAAAGGGCTGGGAATGTAGCTCAGTATGGCGCCTCAGGTGCAAAACACAGTATCCCAGCCGGGCGTGGTGGTGCACACCTGTAATCCCAGCACTCAGGAGGCTGAGGCAGGTGGGTCATTACAAGTTTGAGACAAGCCTGGGCTACAAAGTGAATTCAAGACTAGCCTGAACTGCATAGTGAGACCCTGTCTCAAAAAGACTAAAAAAAAAAAGAACCCAGTACCCCAAGGGAAAAAAATCTAAGATACTTTGAGTATGGATAAGAAGCTCAAAAGGGCTGGGTGTGGTGGCGCATGCCTGTAATCCCAGCCTTGCGGGAGACTGAGGCAGGAGGATCATTGTGAGTTCGAGACCAGCCTGGACTACAAAGTGAGCTCAAGGCCAGCCTGAACTGCAGAGCGAGACCCTGTCTTAAAAAAAGACAAAGACAAAAAACAAAACAAAACTCTGAGATCTGAAACACTTCTAGGCCCCAGCCTCTGAGATAAAGACCCCTGCACAGGATCACGGGTATTGGGGTCCGTGAAGGCCCGGCCCGAACCATGGATGGAACCAGGCCCTGGTGCATGCTAGGCAAATGCTGTACTACCCAGCTCCATCCCCAGCACTTTTTTGAGACAGGGTCTTGCTAAGCTGCCCAGGCTTAGCTTGAACTTGAGAACTTCCTGCCTCAGCCTCTTGAGTAGCTGGGATTACAGATGTGCTCCTTGCCCTGGGCCCGGAGCACTCCTGACCATACTGCAGGCTCTGAGCAGACACCCACCCTCCTTGGGGTGCCTCCCGGACTCCTGGGCTCCCAGGGGATGTGGTCTCCTGCGGGACCCTTGCAGGGGTGCGGTGTCTCTGTATCCCTTCTCCACGGGCCCTGGGGGCAGGGCTGGGCACAGGCAAGGAGTGGGCTGAAGGTTTCGGCCCCTCCCTGCCTGGCGTGGGGTCCGAGGCCCCCCTCACCCATGGCCTCTCTGCCCGCAGTTCCGGAACTTCAAGATCATTTACCGACGCTACGCCGGCCTGTACTTCTGCATCTGCGTGGATGTCAGCGACAACAACCTGGCCTACCTGGAGGCCATCCACAACTTCGTGGAGGTGCGGGCACGGCCGCCCGGGGCCCTGGGGTGCGGGACGTCCCAGTCCTGTCCCTCCTGAACCCGCCCTGCCCACCGATGCCCTCAGCCTCACCTCTGTGTGTGTCTGTCTGTGTCTGTCCCTTCCTCCAGCTTCGCCTCTGCCTCAGTCTGGCTCCTCTCTCCCTTCCTTCCCTCCCTCCCTCCCTCCCTCTCTTTCTCTCTCTTTCTTTCTTTTCTTTTCTTTTCTTTTCTTTTTGGCTTTTTGAGACAGGGTCTTGCTAGTTTGACGTGAACTCACAAAGTAGCCCAGGCTGGCCTGGAACTCACAGTGATCTTCCTGCCTCAGCTTCCTGAGTGCTGGGAGTACAGGCCCGCGCCACCGCGCCCTACTTCCTTTTGTTTTTCTGAGACAGGGTCTTGGTACATAGCCCAGGCTGGCCTTGAGCTGTGGTCCTGACTTCTGCCATCTTTCTCTGGTCTCTCCCAGTGACCCCTGTTCTTGTATCTCTCCCTCACCGTCGTTGTCTGTCTTATCGTCTCTGTCTCTGTCTGTGTCTGTCTGTCTGTCTCTCAGATCTTTCTCTGTCCCTACTCTTAGTTTCTGTTATTTTGTGTGTGTCTGTCTGTCTTTTTTGAGACAGGGTCTCAATATGCAGTTCAGGCTGACATTGAGCTCACTTTGTAGCCCAGGCTGGTCTCAAACTTGCAAGATGTTCCTGCCTCAGCCTCCCAAGTGCTAGGATTATAGGCGTGCACCACCACGCCTGGCAGTTTCTCTTATTTTTGTTTTTGATTTTTTGTCTTTTTGAGACAGGGTCATGCTGTGTAGCCCAGGCTGGCCTCATACTCACCGAGATCCTCCTGCCTTAGCCTCATGAGCAGCTGAGATTATAGGCGTGGATAACATGGGCCACTGCTCTTGCTCGGCCTTCTCTCCGTGGTCATTTTGACCCCTGTTGCTCTATGTTTCCCGTCCCTCCCCTTGGGGTCTCTTTCCCGGTCCCCCTCGTCCCCGCCTCTCTGGCTCCCTCCTGGCCTGTCTCACCGCACCCGTGTCCCTCGCCCAGGTCTTGAACGAGTATTTCCACAACGTCTGTGAGCTGGACCTGGTGTTCAACTTCTACAAGGTAGGCTCCCACCGGGCAGGGAGGCCGCGGGGGCTGGGGCTGTCCCTGCTGCCCCGTCCCGCTCACGGCCGCCCCTGCCCACGGCGCAGGTTTATACGGTGGTGGACGAGATGTTCCTGGCGGGCGAGATCCGAGAGACGAGCCAGACAAAGGTGCTGAAGCAGCTGCTGATGCTGCAGTCCCTGGAGTGAGGCGGCCGCCCTCAGCCCGGCTGCTGCCCGCTCCCGGCCTGGCCCGCCTGGCAGCCGCCCTGGAGGAAGGACCCTGGCAGGGGCCTGGGTCACCAGGGAGGACGCCGCACCCTGCCGCCTCCGGGCCCCAGCGTGGGCACAGGAGGCCACCCCGTGTGTCCTGAGTAACTGTGCCATTGTCGTGTGATGCTGTGAGTGTGTGCGCGGAGCCCCCAATAAACCTGCGTTCCTGCCTGGCCTTGCTGTCTTTGAGCCCCTGACTGTCTGCCTGAAGAACCTAGCCTTGACCTCAGTCCATCAGCAAGCCAGTCAACAAACAACCCTCTCTTGCTGAGCAAGGTGGGGGGACCCCAGCACCTGGCAGACCTGCTCCTGCTTGCAAAGGGCCCCCAAACTGTAAGGGGTGACAGATTTAGACACCAAGCGCTTGCCACTAAACTAACTACACTCAGAGCTAACACTTAGCAGCACCAAGACTCTCCCAGGCCTTGTTCTGAGTGACTGACATGGACCACCGTGCACTTGACCCTCGAAAGCATATAAGGAAGGGACTTTTATTGTCCCCTATTTTTCAGATGAGGTCACTGAATTAAAAGACTTGCCCAGTTCCTATAGCCAGTCAGCACTGAGCTGGTTTATTTGAAGCAGGTTCCTTTCAGTTTTTTGAGTCTTGCTATGTAGCCCAGGCCAGCCTTGAACTTACAACAATCCTGCCTCAGCCTCCTGAGTACTGGGATTATAGTATTCGAACTGTACTACTATGCTCAGTGAAATAAAAACTTGCCAATGTGGTGTTGCACACCTGTAATCCACAAGTTCAAGGCTACCTTGAGCTATGTAGTACATTCAAGGCCAGTCTGAACTACATAGCAAGACTGCTTAAAAAAAAAAAAAAAAATAGGTGTGGTGGCTCACGCCTGTAATCCCGGCATTGCAGAGGCTGAGGCAGGAGGATCTCTGCAAGTTTGAGGCCAGCCTAGGCTACAAGGTGAGTTCAAGGCCAGCCTGAACTGTACAGCGAGACCCTGTGTTGAAAAGAAAAGAAGGGCTGGGGATATAGCTCAGTGGCACAGTTCCTGCCTGGCAAGTGCAAGGACCTGAGTTCAATTCCTGGTACCAAAAAGAAAAGCTCTTACCTCACCCACATTTGAGGATTTTAAGCTGTAGGAAGGTTTTGGTCGTGCCCGATGTTTGTGAGCAGGCATTTATTGTACAAACATCAAGTGCCTACTCTGCGAGGCCCCGTCAGAGACACAAAGGGAGACAGTGAGCACAAGAGCTCTAACTATCATCTTGGATTTTGGGGTTTTTTGTGTTTTATTTTTTTCTAATACTGAGGATAAAACCCGGGATCCCATGTGTGCCAGGCAGCGCTCTGGTGCAGAGCTGTACCTCCAGCCTTTTTTAAATTTTCATTTTGAGTCACAGTCTTAAAGTTGCTCAGGATAGTTTCAAACCTGTGATCTTCCTGCCTCAGCCTCTTGTGTGCACCTGCCCCTGTTCATAATCATTTTGTACATGGAGAAGCTGACAGGTGCGTGCCTTTACATCAGACTTTTTATATCTATAAATACAACAGTGCATTAGCTTCTATTGCTTCTGTCACAGTTACATAATGGCTTAAAAAAAACCCACAGATTTTTCATTTTATAATTCTGGAAGTAAGAAGCCTGAGCTGGCCATGGTGAAGCATACTTGTAATCCCAGCACTTGAGAGGCTGAGGTGGAAAGATTGCTGAGTTCAAGGCCAGCCTAGGCTGCATACATAGTAAGACGCCGTCTCATTTTTTAAAAAAAGCAAAAAACCAGCAACAAAAAAAAAACAGGCAGGAGGATCCCCATAAGAGGGAGGCCAGCCACAGTAAGACCCTGTCTCAAAAAACAGAAATTTGAAACAGTGGGCATGGTCTCTACTACTCGGGAAGCTGAGGCAGGAGGGTTCCTTGAGCCCACGAGTGAGAGGCCAGCATGAGCAACACAGCGAGATCCTGTCTTGGAAGGAAGGAAAGGGGGGAGGGCGGGGGGAGGGGAGCTCTGCCCTGGCCCCCCTCCCTGCAGGCTGACCCCACGGCTAATTACTGCACCTCCTGTGCTGCTGCCAGGAGGGCAAACGGGGCGGCCACTTGGACAGCAGCCGGCAGCTTGTCGCAGAGGTAAATACACCTTCCTGGTGACTCAGCGGCCCCACACTGGCTTGTTTAACCAAGAGAAATAAAAACTTGTGCACACACACGACCTTAGCTGCTTTATTCACAGTAGCCAAACGCTGGAGCACAGCCAGATGTCCATTTACTGATGACGTGGTGAGCCAGACGTGCTCCGTCCACAGCCGAGTAACATCCGCCATAAAAAAGAACTAAAGCAGGGCATGTGGTCCACGCCTGTGATCCCAGCACCCGGGAGCCTGATCCAGGAGGATCACAGATTTGAGCCCAGCCTGGGAAACTTAGAGACTTGGGAGACTCTGTCTCGAAATTTAAAAAAAAAAAAAAAAAAAAAAAAAAGGGATGGAGGGCAAAGTTGCTTGATTGCCCAAGCCGGGCTCTAACATGGGATCGTCCTGCCTCAGCCTTCCGGAGTGCAGCATTGCAGATGTGCATCATGGCACCTGGCTGACAGCATGCAGTCACTGTCGGGTAGGGTGCCCTGGTGTGGCTGGCTGTGAAGGGCCTGGGACTCACTGCTTGGCATGTGTGGGGTTTTATGGGGAGAGCGGGGCCATGAGCCAGCTCTGCTGACACCTGCGCTCTGGACTTTGAGCCCCGAACTCTCTGGAGACAGCCATTTCCGTTGTTGAAGCTGGAGTTTTGGGTCCTTTGTCCACATGCCTCAGAAACAAAGATCTACAGAAAGGCAAGGTAATTCCAAGGACAAAAGCTAGATCAGAAATCAAGATTCAGCATTTGCAACCAGGGAACATGGTACCCCTGTAACAGTGGAGAGCAGGTGGCCAGGACAGCCCTAGAAAAGCCCAGAGACAGGGCGCTCACCAAGCCGGAGAGAACTGGGGCTTCCTTTGCAGTACTAGGGGTTAAATCCAGGGCCTCATGCAAGCTGGGCAAGTGTGCTACCCCCAAGCTGTACCCCAGCCCTCTGATAAATGACAGAAGCTACCTTCAGGTCACTGAGGAAGGAGGAAGCACATAAAAAGCAGTAAACACCCCTATCTCAAAATCGAAAAAAAAAAAAAAAGAAAGAAAAAGAAAAGGCCTGGGCATGTAGCTCAGTGTGATGGTCTAGGTTTAATCCCCAGTACTAGGGAAAGAATGTAAAGAACTTCCTTATTGTGGTTATAGAGAAGGATTTCTTAGGATACAAAGAGTACTAACCAGCCGGGCGTGGTGGTGCACGCCTGTTATTTCAGCTCTTGGGAGGCTGAGGCAGGAGAACTGCCACAAGTTTGAGGCCGACCTGGGCTACATAGTTCAAGGTCAGCCTGAGCTACAGAGTACTGTCCATAAAAGAAAAGCCTAATCAGTTCAGCTGCATTGGAAGCAATATGCCCAGGCATCAAAAGACACCACAAAGGAAGTCAAAGACAAGCCCTAGACTAATAAGACATCTGCCACACATGTCACCAACAGAGGGCTTCACATCCACCATATGTAAAGAGGGCCTACAAATCAATATAAATAACCACTGAACAGGATCATGGGCAGAAGATTGGAGGCGTCACAGTTTCAGGAGCCCTGAGCCGGAGGAGGGTGCAAAGCATACGGATGGTGCGGGAGATCGGATCTCTACCCCAACCATGCACCAGAGAGCTGTGATTGGCTACAGTATGGATTATCAGAATGAGCCTGCCTTTGCTAATGCCTTGTTTTCCTAAATAATTAACAGCAAAGGTCCGAATAAAGATGGGTCTGGGAGAAGGTGAAGCAGGCAGCCCCGGGAGAGGTGGTGATTTTCTGGCCTGGGGAAGAGGAAAGAGGCCCAGTCCACAGGGAGAGTGTGAGGCAGGATTGTGTTTGGCTCCTCGCCCAGCACCTACCTGAGTCTTATCAGGGTTAACCTGGGCCACCTCTCTCCAGCGATGTAACCCGCACCTGGCCAACAGCTTTTTCCTTTTTTTGTTTGTTTTTTTTGAGACAGGGTCTCACTATGCAGTTCAGGCTGGCCTGAGCTCACTTTGTAGCCCCATCTGGTCTTGAATTCTCAACGATCCTTCTGCCTCAGCCTCCCGAGTGCGCCACCACACCCAGCCAACTTTTTCCATTTTGAAACAGCAAATTTGCTAAATTGCCCAAGCTGAGCTTGAACATGCCCATGATCCTCCTGCCTCAGCCTCCTGCAGTACAGGATTCTGGGCTGACAGTGCGCATTGTAACTGTCAGGTAGAGTGGCTTGGTGCACAGCTGTGCAGAGGCATGCATTTGCCTGCTTCCTGCAGCTGGAGAGTGCACCCTCTTCCGGGAGCATGGGCTGGGATCCCCGAAGGGACTCGGAACTTTGCCTTCTGTGCCCCACCTCCGTGCCAGCAGGAAATCCTGTCACTCTGGCCTTCGAAATATCCCCAAGGGCCACCCCCACTGCTAGTCCAGCTGCTACCACCTACCACCTGGACTACAGCTGTCACCTTTCTACCAACAGAAAAGGCCATATGTAACAGTAGGACATTTTACAGAAGTGAGATGCTGGCCAGGAACGGTGGCACAGGCCTGTAATCTAGCACTTGGAAGGCTGAGGCAGGAGGATTGTTGCGAGTTCGAGACCAGCCTGGGCTACAAAGTGAGCTCAAGGCCAGCCTGAACTGCATACCAAGACCCTGTCTCAAAAAGACAAACAAATAAACAAAAAACCCATGTGGCTTGCATTATATTTCTGCAGACAATGCTGCTCTGTATGTTCTGCTGGTTTATTCAGTATCTAGCTCCTCACTACTACTAGGGAGTCAGCTCCGAGAAGATCGGGCTTTTATTTTGTCTACCACTAGATCTCTAGCGCTAGCACGGTTCCTGGCACATGGTAGGCCCTCGATAAATATTTGCTGACTGAACAAATGTGACCTCTTTCTGGCATGAGCTCTCAGACAAACCCTCCTTGCACCCAGCTCCTGTGGTTTCCTCCCCTTCCAAAGTCGGGACTCAGTGTTGGAGTCTGATGGGCCACCCAGAGGGATTGGGAACAAGCCTGGAAAGCTTCCTGGAGGAGGCAGTGAAGCTGGTGGAAGGAATCCCAGCTCAGTAAGGGGCTTGCGCTCTTCCTCCACCAAGTGGGCCCGGCTGTTTCCATGGAGAT